CCCCCCCCCTCCCCGCCCCACTGGGTTGTACATTTAGTCCATGCATTCAACCTATATACTTGCACCTTATAAAAGCACCCGCTTAAATACCCACACAGCATTTGCAGGTAAAGGTTTCAATCACTTCTTACCGAGAGGCAAAGAAATCAGCTTAAAAATTGCCTCCTGTAGAGGCATTTGCTTGAAGCCATTGCAGGTTGCTTTTAAGGACAACAAGTCTGGTATTTGCATGCAAAAGTGCTGTCAAATGCATGTTATAGGTATTGCTCTTAGTTGTATTGATCAAGTAATTGCAAAGGCAATGTGCTAAGTGGGTACTAGTTTATGTGGTGTGATTTGCAGTCACAGCTGCTTTGACTTGCCCTACAAATATACCTGTAATAGGACCCATATTTTAATTTGACCTCCTGTCCTTAAAAGGTAGACCTAAACACAAGTCAGTTTGCCAGGTTAAGCCTTAATGCTGTTATCTGTTTGGGTTTTTTTTCCAATAGCTCCATTTCTGATTTGGAATTAGTTCATCATTACTGAATGACATGGAAAGAACTGTTTTGATTGCATCAGATAACAAAGCTAATAATGGTGTTTAAGACAAAATGTTATTATAGTCTAATTCTTCTAGCCTAATTTTTAAATCAAAGCTAAAAAATTGTGTTGTGTGATCAGTCTTGTGTAAACACACCTTTTTTATTGAACCATCCTCGTGTCTAAGATGGTGAGTTCAACGGCAGCCGAGGACATCCAACACAGCATATGATTGGTACCATGGCTGTAATCAAATCCTCTGCTCAGATCCATGAAGCCACGCACCAAAAGACGGATTGCAGCAAGGCTCGTAGATGATCGCATTCACTGTCTGCAGCAGGAAGGGAGAGGGGGACACACAGTTGATTAATGGCTTTGTCCTATATAATAACACATAGTGGAGTGAAGCCGGAGTACCTTGATAAAAATCATAGAATCACAGAACCATAGAATGGTTTGGGTTGGAAAAGACCTCAAAGACCATCTAGTTCCAACCCCCCTGCCATGGGCAGGGACACCCTCCACTAGACCAGGTTGCCTGAAGCCCCATCCAACCTGGCCTTGAACACTGCCAGGGATCCTGGAGATGTGATGCTTGTGAATCCTTAGGACCAGGATCCAGGATGATAGGAGGGCAGCGCTGCTGGGCATGGAGGAGAAGGCTTCGCCAGGGCTCGCGGTGCTGGCAGAGGGCAGCATCTGTTCTGTAGGCAGGACAACATTTTCCCATGTGCAGCCATTTTGGGAGGTGAAGATCAAAGAAAGATCTTTCCAAATCCCATCCAGCTTATCCCTATGGCATCTTCTACCAGTCATTTGGGCACGGTTTAGGAGGGAACTGGGACATGTTAGGGAGCCTTTGGATGTGAGAGACCCAATTTGACAGTCCCCCAGTTCTGGCAAACGGCTTAGGGCTGGGACGTGCTGGCAGGCGGTGCGGTTGCTCAGGGCTCAGCGCCGCTGTCCCCAGTTAAACCGTGGCAGAGAGGCATTCTCCTCCCATTCCTGGCCTTGGTCTCAGGCAAGGTGAGGAGGACAGGTAATCAATGGAGTTCTCCCTGAAGTATCTGGGAAGTGAAAGACGGTGAGATAAAGTGATCAGTCTTGAAACTTGCATGTTTTAATGTAATTGACATTGATTTAACTAGTGCTTTTTTTAAAGACAAAATTCAATAAAAAAATGAACCGTCAATATCTTCCTTGCAGCTCTCTGTTACTGATACTATCCCAAAATGCAGCAATTTTGAGGCAGTGGGAACTGAACCAGCACAGGTCCCTTGCTGTGCCATCTTCCTTGGGCTCTGGAGGAGAGGAGCGGGCGCTTGGGCTCTGCACCCCAGGGAGCCACGGGAGCAGAAAGCATTAGGCTCCTCCGCCCTAGCCTCCTCATCCTCTCTGTTATCCAGTTTATTGCAAGCCGCTTCTTGATTAAAATGAGCGCAGTGGTGGACGAGGCAGATCCCCTTCATGCCAACACCCACGATCCATGTTTGAGGTGGTCCACCGGCAGGGCAGATCCTCCATTTTCCCCTGCATAACAGGTCTTCCTCAAGTGGAAAACAACCCCCCTGGCTGGAGGTATTTCATTTTTCAGATCTCCAGTGCTGAAGAACCAAATCATTGTCCTGTCATGCCTGTAATATTGCCTCCCATGGTTACAGCACATACCAAGCTTCGTAGCTAGGCAGAGAACAGGCCTGCGTTTCTCCCCATAGACTGTTAGAAAAGCCAATTAGGCTGTTACTTAATTTTCCTCCTTTTTTTCTCCTTTATGCACAAGGGGAAGCAGTTAAAAGTCTCCCTTAGCTCCATTATGTAAATTTTCAAGTAAATTCTCCCTGAATTGTAATTCAGCAGGTTTATTGTTAAAAATGTCGCCTGACCAGCACATACAGAAGCTGCATCCAGGGAAGGGTCACTGATCAAAAGCACAATGTCTCATTAGATGTGTGTAGATGGGGGAGAAGCTCCTCAGCTCCTCCTGTAGCGTTCCTCTGTGCCGAGGCAGCAGCAGCAGCATGTGTGTAGGCGGGTGAAGGCGAGAGTAGGAGGGAAGCGGTCACAGTCCAGACTATCCTGCTAAAACTTCTTTGGGTTCTAACCATTTCCCAGCCCAGGCTCTGTCTTGACTGACAGCTTTGGGGACAAGCAGAGCATCACATAATGCCTACGCTGGCAGATACCGAGCAGTCAGCCAGGAAGCGGCGAGGTGCGGAAATCAAATGAACCATGTTCAAATTCAAACCTCTGCTTAAGCGGCTTTTGTTAATAAAGCCTCTTGATGTTACTATGTACAGAAGAAAACACTGAAATAGTGGTATTTTTGGTTTATATGCATTTGTATGCAATTAGTTTCCCTCTGCTTATTTTGTCATACCTAACGTATGTCCTCTCCTATGGGGCACTCCTGTTGACATGTACGGGAGCTCAGCATACAAGAATTTGGCTTGGACCTGTCATATGTCTTGGTACTGTGTGCCCAGGTCCTCGGAGAATGAAGAAAGGGGACCGGCACGACCACTTTGGTGGGTAGGTTGTATCTGTGGCAGGCTTCATTTTCCCTGCAGAAATCCTCATTGCTTTTGTAGGAGATGATTGCAGGACGATTCCTTCCTCAGCAGAGTCTTCCCTCTCCTCTAACAGACTTGATACAACTCCACAGCTAGCTTCTAGCCGCGCAGATGTGATGGAACTGAGCTCCTGGCATATGGAGATACTGTTTCCACGTGGAAATGCTATCCAAAGATATGTGGTAATTCTCCAGAGCTGAATCCCAATGATGGAAAGAGATTTCAGCAAAAATTATTAGTGGGAGAAGTGCCAAAGCATCTTGGAAAAGGGTATTGCTGGTTTCCAGAGGCTGAGAGAGACTGAACGCAGATCTGAACCTCCCTGAAGCTGATCCACAGATTCTGCTGAGATTCATTTGTAGAGTAGCCTGATGTGATTCAGGTCAAAGACATCGTCAGAAATAATAAATACACAACTTCTAGCCCTGTTTGCTTTATGGTTTTATATCTCTTTTTGCTAATCATAAGCTGTAGGATACCTAATTATTCTGATTTCTGTTAGAAAAAAATAGGTCATATTTGTGGACTAGCTTAAGCAGGAGCCTTCTGCTGGAGTCTAAGGATGGAATTTGAATATAATAGAA